ATCCATGATAAATTGTGGTCCTCTTCCAGGTGTATTTTGCCCACCTTGTCCATAATTAATTGTGGTCCTCTACCATGTGTATTTTGCCCACCCTGTCTATAATAAATTGTGGTCCTCTACCAGGGGTATTTTGCCCACCCCATCCGTAATAAATTGTGGTCCTCTACCAGGTGTATTTTGCCCACCCTGTCCATAATAAATTGTGGTCTTCTACCAGGTGTAATTTGCCCACACTGTCTATAAAAAAATGTTGGTCCTCTACCAAGTGTGTTTTGCCCACCCTGTCCTTAATAATTTGTGGTTCTCTACAAGTTGTATTTTCCCCACCTAATCCTTAATAAATTGTGGTCTTTACCTGGAGTATTTTGCCCACCCTGTCATTAATAAATAGTGGTCCTCTACCAGGTGTATTTTGCCCACCCCATCAATAATTAATTGTGGTCCTCTGCCAGGTGTATTTTGCCCACCCCATCCATAAAAAATTGTGGTCCTCTACCAGGTGTATTTTGCCCCCCCTGTCCATAATAAAGTGTGGTCCTCTACCATGTGTATTTTTGCCCACCCTGTTCATAATAAATTGTGGTCCTCTACCATGTGTATTTTGCCCACCCCATCAATAATTAATTGTGGTCCTCTGCCAGGTGTATTTTGCCCACCCTGTCCATAATAAAGTGTGGTCCTCTACCATGTGTATTTTGCCCACCCTGTTCATAATAAATTGTGGTCCTCTACCATGTGTATTTTGCCCACCCCATCCATAATAAATTGTGGTCCTCTATGCTGAAGACCAGGAACTTTGATCTGGTTCAGATTTTGATATTTGATATTACACCACAATTTTCACTAAACAGTGTTGGGAATATGAACCATTTTTTAGCTCACCTGCCCGAAGTTTGTGAGATAAATATTTTTAGTGCAATATAATATTTAATGAGGATATTTTGCTATGATTGCTTAAATATTCAGGTGAGCTATACAGGCCCTCTTGGGCCTTTTGTTTGTGAATAATTTCAAAAACAAAATCTTGATAATTTCTACTATTTTGTTGCCCGAAGTGCTATGTGAGCTTATGCCATGGTGCAGCGTCCGTCGTCCGGCGTCCTGCGTCCGGCGTCCGGCATCAAAATTTTACTTTAAACAACTTCTTCTTAATAACCAAAAGGCCTAGGGTGATGATATTTGGCCAGAAGCAAACTAGGATGAAGGGCTACTAAGTTTGTTCAAATAAATGACCTTCACCTATTTTCAAGGTCACAGGGGTCAAATATGTTAAAAACCTTAAACAACTTCTTCTGAATAACCAAAATGCCTAGGCTAATGATATTTGGCCAGTAACATGCTAGAATGAAGGGCTACCAAGTTTGTTCAAATGAATGACCTTTACTTATATTCAAGGTCACAGGGGTCAAATATGTTAAAAACCTTTAAACAACTTCTTCT